AAATGTCCATACTACCCAAAGTGATCTACAGATTCAATGCAATCCCCACAGAATGACATCCTTCACAAAAATAGAAAAAACAATCCTAACATACATATAGAACAATGAAAGACCCCAAATAGCCAAAGAAATCCTGTGCAAAAAAATAAAGCCAGAGGCATAACACTACCTTACTTCAAATTATACTACAAAGGTATAGTAACCAAAACATCATGGTACTGGCATAAAAACAGATGCTCAGACTAAAGGAACAGAATAGAGAACCTAGAAATCAACCCACATACTTATAGTCAACTGATCTTTGACAAAGGCACAAAGAACATACACTGGGGAAGAGAATGCCTCTTCAATAAATGGTGCTGGGGAAACCGGACAACCATATGTAAAAGAATAAAACTAGACCTGTACCTCTCATTATACACCAAAATCAACTTAAAATGGAGAAAAGACTTAAATATAAGATGTGAAACTATAAAACTCCTAAAAGGATACATACAGGAAACACTTCAGAAAATAGGACTGGGAAAAGAGTTTATGAATAAGACTGCAAAAGCACAGGCTACAAAAGAAAAAATAAACAAATGGGATTATATCAAACTAAAAAGCTTCTGCACAGCTAGAGAAACTATTAACAGAGCAAAAGACAACTTCCAGAATGGGAGATAATATTTGTAAACTATATATCCGACAAGGAACTAATACCCAGAATATACAAAGAACTCAAACAACTTAAAAGTAAAAAAACCAAACCAAAACAAAACAAGTGACCCTATTAAAAAATGGGTAAAGAGGCTGAATAGGCATTTCTCAAAGGAAGATATACAAATGGCTAACAGGTACGTGAAAAAATGCTCAACAGCTTTCAGCATCAGGGAAATGCAAATCAAAACCACATTGAGATATCATCTCACCCCAGTTAGACTGGCTATTATCAAAAAGACAGAGAATAAAAAATGCTGGTGAGGATGGGGAGAAAAGGGTACCTCTTACACTGTTGGTGGGACTGCAAATTAGTGCAGCCATTATGGAAAACACTATGAAGGTTCCTCAAATAAGTACAGATAGAACTAGCATAGGATGCAGCAATCCCACTGCTGGGTGTATACTCAAAGGAATGGAAATCATCATGTAGAAGGGATCCCTGCACTCCCGTGTTTATTGCAGCTCCATTTATAGTAGTCAAGAGTTGGAACCAACTTAAATGGACAACTGGTGAAGGAAAATGTGTTATATATGTATAATGTAATACGACTGTGTCATAAAAAAGAGTGAAATTTTGCCATTTGCAGCAACATTGATGAACTTAGAGAAAATTATGTTAAGTGAAATAAGCCAAGCACAGAAAGAGAAATACCACATTTCCTCACTCACAAGTGGGAGCTAAAAAATAAATAAATAAAAAGAAAGATATAACAATTAAAATAATTCATTGAACTTTCAAAAGGAGAGAACAGAATTGAGGCCACGAGAAGTGGGAAAGGAGAGGGGGAGGGGGTTAGTGAAAAATTGGTAAAGGGCCACAAAATGATCCCATTGTGTAATGTCGAATATACTAATTATCCTGATTGAGCATCACATAATGCACACAGGTATTGGTATTCAACACTGTATCCCACAGATATTATGGTTTAGTTTTTTTAAAAGAATCACAGATAGATTAGAATCTTCTCATTTTCTGAGAAGACTACAAAATGAAGGTGCCTCAACCAGTTGTAATTTGGTGAGTTAAAAGCATAAAAGGATTAGATTTTAGGATTCCATTACACTGCAAATAAGACCTTTCAAAGCTCCTGAGACTTACTGTCCTTGAAAATAGAATTGTCCAAGGAACATAGTCAGAACAAATTTTTATAGTGGGTAGATGCTAAGGAGAGAAATTAAGAGCTGAAAACACACCTTTACCTATGATTTCATGTGACTTTCAGAAGTGTTCTACATAGAAGTGTTTCGTGTAACAATATTGTATGTGTTTTATATGTTATGAAATGAGGCTTGGAGGGGTTAAATGATGTGTCCAAAGTCACTTAACCAATGTGTTTTAGAAATAGAACTTGAATCAAGGGCATCACATTCACAGTCTCCTACTTGGATTTTCATTCTATGCTGTAGAATGCTGAGCTACATCTGGCACAGGTCTCGGGTTGATTCTAGTCATGGCACAAAGCAGAAGGGCAGTTGGTGTGTGCAAGGAGATAACATGGCAGAAGAACAAGCAAGAGAGGGAGGCAGGTGCCAGGCTGTGAGAACTCACTCATGCCCTGCCTCCAGGAGGGCATTAATCTATTCATGAGGGATCCAACCCCACGACCAAAATACCTCCCACTACCCCACCGCCAGATTGGGGATTAAATTCAACATGAGTTTTAGAGGGGCAATCATATCCAAACTATAGCAACATCCAACAGGAATTGGTTAGGAAGCAGTTGGATGTATAGGTCTGGACAGAAACATACATTTGTGTGTCATGTGCATAAAAGGATAATGGAAGTTATATTATCATAATATTGTCTAAGAGAGTGTAGTATATTATCATAATATTGTCTAAGAGAGTGTAGAATATTTCCTTTAGGAAATCCAACTTTTATAGGCCAGGTAAAGGAGGATATGCTTGCCAGAAGACAGGTTAGAAGCCAGGAGACAGAATAGGAGGCAAACCAGGAGCACACTGTGTCACAAGGGTCAAGAGAGGAAAGTGCTTCAAGAAGAAAGAAGAGGGCAGTGACTTTAGGTAACGTGGAAATGTCAAGTAAGATGAGAACAGAAAAATGCCCTTTGGCCTTAGTTACAAAGAACTACTTGGCTGATGTAGTGAGAGCTGTTTCTATGAATTTACAGAGCTGCAATCCAAATTGAGGAGAACTGAGAAGTTACATGAAGCTATAATGCTATAATTTCATGCTGCTGGCTAGAGTCTCCTTTGTCACAGGTTTCCCTACTCACACTACTCCCAGTTAATAACAAAGCTCTGTTGTTGGAAGAAATGATTTACAGACTGTATTACTTAAGCATCATTACAACCTTAAACAAATTTGGTACAAATCATTTTCTTCTATGTTTACATTTGTATTTTCTTTAGTAAAGAATCTTGAGCTTAATAAAATCTTGTATGATTTTCCCGTACAGCATCAATTGAAGAAATATATTTCGAGGAATTGATTTTATTTTTGGGGTCAGGACTGCAGGGTTAAAACCAGGTCTAGAGTTTCCACGTGGATGAATTTGGAAGTGAACACATTCGAAGCTGCATTCCAGGGATGTTTCACACTACACCATACTGCTTTTTTTTTTTTTAATTGAATCACTTTTTCTAGGCTTTGAGAATTAAGAAAACACATCCAAAGAATTGATTTCATATATAAGCAGGATGCTTGGATGCTGCTGCATTTCATATAAAAAGAGGTTCCTGTATTCTCACTGTCTTGGTGGGATAGAAATCTGACGAAAAGGCATATAGACCCTTGCTTCTCAAAGTGTGATCTGTGAATGGCAGCGTCTATTTCAGTGAGGAACATTTAAAAATGCAGAGTCTCCAGCACCACCCCAGACCTACTGCATCAAAATCTGCATTTCAACAAGATCCTTGAGTGATTGATGTGAACATTAAAAGGTAAAAATATCTTGCATTTTTTTCTCAGAATCTACTTTTTAAAAACAGAATTATTTATTATTCTGCTATGATATTTAAACTGATCCAAGGGCAGGTTAGTCATTTATGGACTAAAAATTAATCATATTATTTTGTTCTAAAATTAAGACATGTGGTAGAGTGCCAAGGTATACTTCATAGACAAAAAGTAGGTTACTCACCCAGCTTATGATAGAACATGCACTTTTTAATTCCCTCTTACCAGCAGCTGCTAATTATTTGCATCAAACTCTCTACCCTGCCTCTTTTTTTTTTTTTTTTTTTTTTTTTTTTTTTATTAAGAATGATATTTGTAAATTTAGTTTGAGATAGGATTACCGGTCATGCTTTGGTGCCGGACTTATAAACTTTCAATATTTCAGTCTCTTCAGCCAGTTTAGGAGAACAACATCTACACTTTATTACATGACCCTTCCTGGTGATTAATATCTGGAATGGGCAGATGAAACTTAACATATAGTCTCACTTTTACTTTCTCCATTTTTAACATGGAGCCCTGTTCTAACCTTTAACCAGGGCAGGAAAAGATTGCCACTGCCCCCTGCTGGTCCATTGTCTTTTTTCTTCTCTACAAATCTGTGACTAGGAGAGGATGCCCAAGGATTTTGAATCACTGAAGAAAGCTCAGTAGAAGGGGCTTTCCCTAGTAGAGAAGTACAGAGATCCTTTGAGAATGGGAGGCTAGAATCAAACGAAAACACTCAAGAGGCGAGAAAGGCATAAACGGCTTCTAAATTAAATTATCGATCTTCATGAACCTTTTTCTGCACACGGAATTCTCTATGCCAAGGAAATATCCCCTCCTCTTCAGCACAGGACTCCTCTTTTGCCTCCGGCTTTCACTGACAAGGAGTGGACGACCCGCACCCTTATTATAATTTCAGTACTCTGAATCCTTTTCTCTATTTTCTCCAGTTTCCTGTTCGCACACCTAAACCTATTCCCTTCTCTTTTCGGGTTCAAACTCCTGTCCCGCCCACCCACCCACCGATAGACTAATATTTCCAGAATCTAAGACCCCAGCCTCCCTCACCCTCTCTGTTTCCCCTGACCTCTGCTCTCCCCTTGTCATCATACCCCCTTCAGCACCCCTTCGCTGAACGGCCAGTCTCTCTTTGCTTTTGAACAGCAGGCATGTCCCCTCTTGAATGCCGCTCCCCGACCCCCGCCCCAAGCGACTGAAAAAGGAAACATGCGCACTTCAGAGCTAGGAGCTGTCCGAGTGCTGAAATTTATAGGCTGGGTAAGATCACGTCTCCGTCTCTTTCTGTAGCCCTCATTCCGGCACAGGATCTCGGCAATTTCCCCCTCTTTCCCCTACCCACTCCAGTGCGCAGAGTCCTTTCTTCTCCCTCATTTACAACTTCTTTTAAAAAGAAAACATTTTCTAGAGAAAAGGGCTTTGCTAAATAGAAAGGATATAAAACAAAAGCCACAGCAACCCGACTTCCAGCGTGGCATTGTCACCAGCCCCCTTTGCATGGTGATGCGATTAAGGTAGCAGCATTTTTATTATTCAGGAAAAGCAGCTGGGGTATTCATCAGTTCTGAGGCTTTGTCTTTCCTGGGTTAACTGATGGTCCTGAGCCTCGGTTTGACCTGACCATGATGCCCAGGACTGGCACTTTTTGTTTTTTCTCAGTAAACTGTACAAACCCAAATCTCTTTTTGATTTTCAAGGAAACTAGATTCCTGCCAGATTTTGAATCTGGACGATAAATAGATACTTTGTCCTAGCTTCTTTCTGGAATCATTTCGGGATATTTTCCACAAGCACCACAGAAACAGGAATGAACCGGCAGCTAGTGAACATTTTGACAGCCTTGTTTGCATTTTTCTTAGAGACAAACCACTTCAGGTAGGTGAAACGACTTTGCATGCTGATATTTTCCACATGAAAACTGTTTGAAAGAGCATGTCATGCAATTGTTAGCAATTTTTCTGTGCCCTGGAACGAATTATTTTAATTATATAGAGGAGGGTTAAATTTCTTTTGTTCATTTAAAAAGCTTAATTATGGTGGGAGGGTAGTAAATTTTCACAAAAGCAAGTTTTATGATGCATAGCTCCACGCTATGCATTTCAACACACATTTTCACAGCCAATGTGATATTAAGGTAGTCTGATGAGTTGCATATTCTTTATATTTCTAAATAACGGTAATGTTTTTGCTTTCAAATTCTTCTGGAAGTCATTTACAGGTATTATTGGGTGCAATGTTTTTCACATAGTGGAGGTGATTGGATTAATTTGCCAAGAGCATGCTCATTTTATGTGAAATATAATTCTCAGCCAAGTTGGGACTTCTATTATATTTCAGCAACTAGAAGAATACTGTAAGGGCTATGATTCAGGAATTTTCTTGAAACATCAAAAATCTCTTTTTACCACTATATTCTACTACTGTTCAGTCTATTTGGAAGTTGATTGCCTACCAAAATTTAATTAACATGACATCTTTGTATCTATGTGTGTGTGATAAATGGAGTACGCACAATTAAAATAAATAAGAAAACATTATTTGTGTGCTTGAATTTTCTATATAATTCACTAATTGTCAAATCAATTGATACCTCAAAATATCAAATTATTACCAGTAAGTGAAATAGCCCTCTAATGGCAGAGATTCTAAGACAGGATAGAGATAGGAGATGCTCTTACAACAAAGTGTAGGACTCTTCATTTAATTTTCACCAAATTTTATGGTATTTTTTTCACAGAACCAACAGAAATGAAACACATAGCAATAATGCTGTGAAAACTGAGAAAACCCACTATGTTCCTTTCAGGTTCACACCTCGTACTATGATTAAGAAAAATTATAGGCTGAGTTTTATTAAAATCATCACCATCATCATCATCATCATCATCACCACCACCACCACCACCACCATCATAATCAAATAATACTTGATTAATCAGATGAATCAGCATATGGGAATGTGAGTATTTCTGGATGATTGTATCAATTTTTAACTTCTACCAAATGTTTATATTATCTTAGCACTTATATTTAATACCTCTTTTTTTAAAAAAAAAGCCTGGTGAGAATGTGGCATTTTCTTAGTGATAGAATTAACAAGACTATTTGTTAAGCTATTGAAAACAAAGCTTGTTAAGTATATACTTTAGGAAAAAATCAACATTCAGTCAACAACTATGCATTGTGAAAGAATTTATTTTACTACAAATCAAATATGCTCCTTTTATAAGCTCTTTATTACTTTTAACAAAAAATGGATATCTAAGAAATTTTGAAATCAACTTCTACTGGTTTTAATTGTAAAAAAAATAAATAATTTAGAAGTGTTTTTTCATTGATACTTTACTGAGGACTCAACAATTTAAATGCTCATATGTAATTAATATCTGATAAAATAATAGAAGTAACAGACATGCTTATTGCTGGCCTGTTTTTAAATAAAGTTAAATTTCCAAGTTAAGTTTCTCTTTTAGAGTTCACTTTGAAAAATATTAATAGTTGATAGCTGGAATAGAATTCAGCAGGTGAAAAAACAAGCAGTGAAGTAATTAGTTGCATTGTTAATTTTGTTCTGCCCACCTTATTATATATTTCTTGTAAGAGGTAGAGAACTTGTATTTAGGGCTGAAATGCTAAAATGATTTTTTGTAAAGTCAGGGGAAACAATTTTAAGACAATCATATGAATTTCAAAAATTATCATCTTCACTTCTCTGATAACTCTAGAAAGATATATATTAACTACATATCCTACATGTAACTACATATATTAACATACATTACATACATATTTTACATAAGTAAAATCTACAACCTAAAACTGTACATCGTCTCATCTCAAATATCTTATAGTTAAAGTTTGGAAACTTAGGAGATATGACTGAGAATTTACATCTCTCATCATTTGAAGTTAACTTTATACCATGTACAAGTTCAGAAGTTGACCAAAGAGTTTGTATTTTCTATTTTTCTTCTTACTAACATATCAAACACCTTTACCAAAATGTGATGTCAAACATTCTGTGAGCATTAGTTCTAAGGGGATGAAAATGGAATTGTTGCTAAAGGAGTTAATGATGTGTTTAGGGCGGCTTTCTGCAAAGACCATGACTCCAGGTCTGGAAAACAACCTTCACAGACCCTATCTCCTTCAGATTTCTTGGACAAATTAATGGGAAGGACATCAGGATATGATGCAAGAATCAGGCCAAATTTTAAAGGTAGGTTTCACTTAAACTTACACTAAGGCTTTGACATATCTTTTAGATGTTTGAATAGTTTACTCTAAAAAAACATTTTCAGAGATTTTTTTTTAATCATAAAATGGAAATGGCAAGTATAGTATGTATTTGATTTTGTCATTCTTTTGAATTAGTCACTGATTTAAATATCTTAAATTTTACTTGTAGCTTGCCATGTTTGAAAATTTTCCTTGTTTGTGTTCTCTTCCATAAATAAAACTAGTGTCAGAAGTTATTGTCACATCCCTATTTTGTCTTAAGTGGGAATGTAGCTGGAAGTGAATACAAGAGCAAATGATGGAATTGACTTGCATGAATGTCTACCAGGACACATGCAAAATTCAATGGTTACACCAAAATCATTGGATTTGGTTTTAAATATCTACATCAAAGTGAAGTTTAAATCTCAGTATAAAATATGCCATTTTACACACTTTCAGGCCTCTTTAATTTTTAGACTTTGTGAGAAGAGGCTCTCATTTAATGGATCAGAATTTTTTGTTTCCCTTTTGTTTAAACATTCTAATTGTTTATTTAAAATTATTTGTCTGAAATTAACAAAGAAAATCATAGAATTTTAAAGTGCACATGTCAAAGATGGTGGATACTTTCTTTGTTCAATTAGAAGTAAACTGAAGAGTTTTGTGTTTTTCTTAGTTTAACATTACAAAAATATAGTCTGTAAAAACTATTTTTTATCTATTTTTTTAATTTTTATTCTGGGTCAAAAAAACTATAATAAGAAAGGACCAATTATTAATGGTTGAATTATTTTGATGCTTTACTTTTTAAATGCATATTTTAAATAACAATTGTGCTTTACCTTGTAATTGAATTTAACATAATGTATGTGAAATGTTTACAATATTTTATAAAATGAGAAACCTATAGTATTCTAGATATTATGTAGTAATCTATGTATTGCTTTGGTTTTGCTTGTTAGCAACTTAATTGCATTACTTTCCTTGAGTTTGATTAATTCTCATTATTGGCAAATATAAGCATGAAAACTAAATTCTAAATTTATTTCCTTTTTAAATGCTACACCTCTGGATATACCCAGATATGGGCACATTTCATAAAAAAATACGTCAGAATTTTTGTAAAACAAGTGTTTTTGATTTATAGAGTATTTCCAAAAGAGACAACTGAACTAAGTTCAGAGCTTAATTTTCCTGAAAAAAAAATCTTCATGTTCATTCCGTTTTCTATTAATTTTGTGGTTATTGCTTAGGAAGTCAATGTTTGAAATAAAATGCTATTGGTAATAAGCTGAGAATCAGCTTTCAATGGACTTGCTCATTTGTACATTTATTCACTCAGCTATTCAATAACTTTTGAATCTGGACTATATGCAAATTACTAACTTCAGGGCGCTTTGTAAATTTGAGAGATGAAACAGGTTTTGGTGCTCCCATCAAAAATTTCAACGGAGAGAGAAGATGTTACATGAATATTTAGAGTACTAGATAGAAATAGTTAAGTACCATTAGGGAGTATAGATAAACTGCTGCAGGATTCCAACAAATGGAGAGATAATTTCCTATTAAGCTATTCATAGAAAGCTTCACAGAGAAGGTTCAAAGATGAAAAATTGTTTCAAGTTTCTGAGCATCTTGTTTGATAGCAGTTATTACTCATTACTTTCTAGAACCAATTTTTCAAAAGGGCAAAAAAGTACAAAGAGTAATAAAACAAACACCCATGTTGCCATTGCTACTTTAAGTGGCCACATAGAATGAGCCATCGTTTCCACACACTGTTTTTTTTTTTTTTTTTTTCCTGGTTCTCCTGGGGATGTCACCCTTTGGATGACATTTATTATGGTTCTAAGGGGTAAATGAATAAGAAGAATGTCAGATGTAGCAAAGCATAGCCATGATTTTGTGATCTATCCACTACTTACAAGCCAAAGTACAGGATATTTTAATGACTTGTAAAAGAGAAATGGGGGCCGGCCCGGTGGCGCACTGCTACAGTGCGCCGCTTGGGAGCGTGGCGGTGCTCCCGCCGAGGGTTCGGATCCCACATACAGACCAGCTGCTCACTGGCTGAGCGAGGTGCAGGCTCAACACTGAGGGTTGCGATCCCGTTGCCGGTCCCGGTCCGGTACGGGCACGACAGGGAGGGTTGCGATCCGTTGCCGGTCACGAAAAAAGACAAAAAGGAAAAAAAAAAAAAAAAGAGAGAAATGGGGTGGATATCACTTAGGACTCTAAGATTAATGGGCTTCACTTCATTTTGCCTTCCTCTCCCTTTAACTCTCCATCTTAATGAGTATGCTATTTCTTCATAAACTTTATTAACATAGACCGTTTATTTTATATATTTTTTAAAAAATTTATCATTATACAATGTAATTGATTTTCATGGCCCTTTACCAATTCCTCCCTTTCTCCCCTTCCGTTCTCTTTTTCCCACCCCTGGCAACCTCAGTTCTGTTCAGTTCTCTTAACAATTTCAAAGAATTATTGTGATTGTTGTGTCTTTTTTTCTTATTAATTTGTTTACTTATTTCTTTTTATTAGCTCCCACATATAAGTGAGAACATGTGGTATTTCTCTTTCTGTGCCTGTCTTATTTCAGTTAACATAATTTTCTCTAAGTTCATCCATGTTGCTGTGAATGGCAGAATTTCATTCGTCTTTATAGCAGAGTAGTATTCCATTGTGTAGATATACCACATTTTCCTTATCCACTCATCAGATGATGGGCATTTAGGTTGGTTCCAACTCTTGGCTATTGTAAATAGGGCTGGAATAAACATGAGAGTACAGGTATCCCTTCGACATAAATACACCCAGCAGTGGGATAGCTGGGTCATAGACTATTTATATCAGATCAACTGCATGACATCACCCAAAGTTCTCTTCATTCTGGGGAGCTTGGCTTTTCCTGGATGTAAAACATTCCCCATTATTTTAGGCTAAAGTAATTTTCCTCTCCTTGGTGTTTCCATGGAACTTTATATGTTTAATATGATCTGTTTGCATATTTATGTTTTATCAATCCACTCCCACACTGGATCTGAGAGGAAAAGGACGTAGGGAGGTGCCTTATTTGATATATACACACATAACATAGGGGTAGTGTAGGAAAAAGAAATCACCCTTTTCTCTAGAATGCGGAAATAAGGACGAAGAAAGAGAAAAAAATGCAGATCAGTTATGAAGATTAATACTTCTAGTGAATGGTAGAAGAATTTGAGAGTGGGAAGTTTTGAGGGATCAGCCAGTAGTCACAATGGCAAGCAAAGATGGTCTTGGCTGATTCAAAGAGAAAGAAATAAAAGAAATAATAGGGAACTTGTAACATTGAGGAGGTGAGGAAGAGCACTCTAGTACTTACCATAGTTGATTAGCAATGTATCAATGAGAAATTTTATATAGTACGTAAAAATGAAGTGTGATTAGGAAATGTGATTGCATCTAGAATAGTGATAGACTCCCTGTAAATGCCCAAAAGCAAATTGACTATGATAACAATAAACATCATCATGATGATAATGTTGACAATGACAATAATAGTGATTAATAAAAAGACAGAAGAGCAAAATTTGACCACAAGAATAAAAGCAAGAGCCAAATATGGGCTGTTGAGGTAAAGGGAATGGCTATTCTAGGAGTCTTATTAAATATTAGCGTGTTTCTCTGTTTCCTTGCCATCATGCATTTGCGAGAGAAAAAGAAATGTATATACATAATTTTTCTTATTCAAAAGAATTTTCCTACATACTTTCAAGTCAGTAAAATATTGCATGTTTATTTCATATCCCTTATGGGCTCTGAAAGATGTCATAATGGGCATATATACAAGAAAGAAGATGGATGTAAGCTAGAAAAGGGAGTCAGAAATGACTCAGACTTAGGCTCTGTAATTGAGAGACATTCTTAGAAACTATAGGAAAAAATAGCTTTTCTGATGTGCTGAAGCACAAGTGTATAAACAAAGTCATGAGTCAGAGTAACCAATTGAATTCCATCTATAAGATCCATAGAGACCTGAGTCAGATCTTGTCAAAACATAAATTTTCAGAATCCTCAGTTCAGAGAAAAACGCAAGCTATGTCCAGGCACAACTCCCTGGTTCTGAAACCATGATGAATGTTTATTCTATAACAACAGAGGAGCCTCTTTTCCCACGTGGGTGATTTGTCTCATTTTCAATTAATTTATCATGGTGTTATTCCATCATCCTATCAGATATTCCTTTGTCAGTATTATTGTATCTTAAAAATGACACTTTAAACCTGAGCAAAATGCATTAGTTCTGTTTCTCTTTCTGAAACAAAGCTTTTTATCTATTTTAATGAAATTTTCTTTGAAAATAAAATTAACTTAGGTTATATCCTGAGTTTTTTCCCAATGTGAATAAGTACATTTTCACCATAGCATTTTTTTGAGAAGAGGATCTAGAATACATAGTGCCAAGAGGTAATTGTTCAGTCTACTTCTTTGTGTATGACATGCACGCTAATTTTTTTCCATGTCTAGAGACCTAAGTTGGAAAGCATGGACATTAAAACCTACATTTGCATGCAATATTGTTTCCTGCAATTTCCAAGGAGTTAGCAGCTCAAAAGATGTTTCAGATATAAGTAAAACTAGATCCACTTCCATTAAACCAGAGGTCTTCAGTTTTTGCCCTTTGGAAATTTCTCCTGTCTGGAGCCAAGTGAAGAGTTAAGTACAAATGTTGTGACCAATCCCTGCAGGGGGCACTTGAGCACAAATATCTGGCAGGGACACTTGGAAAGGGTGCTTCTCTCAGTGATAATGCAGCCCCAGCATGACCATTTCTTTGATCACCCTAGTGGATGCGGGCATCAGACATTACTATGGATCCTGAGAAAGAGGAGCAAAATGTTTGGAAGTATCAGAAGCATCAGACATGAGCACAGAAAGTAGCAAAAGTCTTTAGCCACCTGAGAAGGTAAAACCATGATCTGCTGAGATTGTGGTTTTATTAGGAACTGAAGA